GGGCTCCTGACAATTACTGTTTATGAAATAAACGCAGTAAAAAACTGTAAGCGCAACACGCTGGCCCTTTAACACCCCCCACCCCCCCCACCCCCCCACCCCCGTAGTGGCAGCCGGCTTCACAAAAGATTTATAGCTTTACTATGTTAGAACGTTGTTAAGTGGCATGGGAAAAAGGTTTTACGCAGGATTGTTTTGCACATTTGTCATTGTCGCTTCAACTCTGACAACAAACTCTTTTACCAATACAAATGAGTGAAAATTTCTTACTCATCTTACTTCGATGTGGTCCCGATTCTCTATTTATCCCAGGTCATTACGAATAAAATATATGAAATTCCTTCTTGATTTACTGAAAACTCAAATTTAGAGCTTAATAATCTGTTCAGTCTAATCTCTTTTGCATGATATTGTCCATAATCCAACTCTTCTAGTTACTGTCAGTTAAAGGTTTCAGTCCCAGACTCCTCATGTGAGGATTTAATGACATAAGAGTCATCATTCTGATGTTTGCTTTTCACATGCTATGTATGTATTTGATGAATTTCAACTCTGTGAAAGAGAACTTCACACCTTCAGATCAAGAGACGGTCATTGATTTTTATAGGGATATTATCAACGGTGCTTCTGTTTACAAGCTAAGTAATTAGTTTAGTTATTATATAGGAATACACAACAGTCATACTGTATAACCCAATTCCATCAGAGGCATGTTTACCAGAACTAGATGCCGCCCAGTTAACTATGGTAACAGCAGCTCACCTGGATGGCTCTCTGGAAGAACTTGATGGCGATGTCGTGTTCCCTCTGTAGACTGAAGCAGTTTCCTGCAACACACCAGGCCTGCAGAAACACACGGCATTACCACTTCACCTAGCTCACCCGAGCAGACACTGATTAGCTGTGCTCCTCACCTCAGGACAGTTCTTGTCCATGTCCGTTAGGTCCTTAGCCAGTGCTGACAGGGCCACGTCTTTCTGCAGGTGCCACAGGGTGGTGGAGTAAATCTCCATTCCCTCCACTCGGTACGATTCAATCCTGCGCACTTCACTGAACAGACGCTCTGCCTAAAAACATTGCCATGGTAACCAGGGGACCCTCTCTCACAGGCAAAAGAGAAAAGGCATCACCTGAGTGGACTCACCTGCATGTATTCAGCCAGCTCAAAGTAGGCCCTGCCGATGTGCGTGAGGACCCAACCGGTGTTGTAGTGCTGAGGAGGAAGTGACGTCAGAATGTTGATGGCTTCTCTGCAGTTGTACGAGCATAGAGCCTGATAGCCCCGCCCAAGTTCCCGTAGCAACGCCATTACGCTGTCTAAATTCAAACAGTACAAGTGGATCACGTTAATGCAAACGTTAGAGATCTGAACCACACTGGTTCTGGTCCGAAACAGATGATGTTGTGGCTCTGCATGAAGAAGCACCTGTTGCAGGTATTACAGAATGAGTTTAATCTGTAGATCTGCAGCAACCAAACAGAGTCTTGATCGTCAGTGAGGAACAACAAACTCGTAATGCTAACTTACTCTCACCTGAGAGGTGCAGGTGTGACACCTCACACAGGTTCATTTACAAGGAAGCATTAAAGAGGTGATCCAAACTCTGATGCTAACAGGCTCAGAGGACAAACGCTAAAGCATGGATACACAAAGATGAGATTACCTGCAGCGGCCCGCTGATACTGGGGTATTCTGGTATCTGGTAGGCTCAAACTGGGATCAAGTCTCAGAATATCCAGACTCTCATTCAGGTTACTGCTATTCGACGTCTTTGCTGATTTACATTTGGTTTTCCTGTTGGGGATCTTCGTAGGGAACTTCATCTTTAACTTCTTGCTGTTCTCCTGCAGAAACAGAACCAAGGAGAATCTGCTGAGCACCAACACGCCATCATTAGGATCGCATCTCAGTGGGAGTCCAGTACCTTGGCAGTAGAGCTGGCACTGGTAAACAGTCTAGAGCTTCTTCTGGGCTGAACATTTGGAGGACCAGACATACTGGGACTGAGTACCTGAGGAGACCCGCTACCAGAGAGACGGATCATCACACAGTTAGACATCTGACTGGGCTACATGCACAACGCTGAAGTCTATACATAGCAGCTGAAGAACATACTTTTTACTGTTCTAAAATTTACAAAAGAAAAAATAATTTATTTCAACTATTTAAACACTTAAAGCTGCTTTCCGGAGTTTTCCCCTTTCAGAAATTATGTATGATTAGTCAGAAATCTGTAAAAGTGATCGTCTCATCATGTACTGTGATATAATGTAAGCAATACATCTTTTTTTCTAAGCACGCCCCCTGCCCCACAGAGCTCCGTGCAATAGGAAACTGATCGCCGACCAGAACTAACCAACAGCGTTAGACTACCGCTTACATGCTTCAAATTTGAGGAATACCACGGCTGATGCAGAGTTGATGAACTTTTCATGGACAAGTAAGTCTCTAAAATATAAATATATGAGAACACAGCATGACATGAGAATAATACTTGTAAAACGTGTTTTAGCTGTTTGTCGGCTACAGAAGCACATTTATAAACAGAAACGTGAAGTCGCCATCTTAAACAAATAGAGCAACAGACTTTTTGTGTGATATGCTTGTCAGCCACTAGATGGTGCCATCGGATAACAGAAATACTCCAGACAGAAGCTTTAAAGGGATATTCCACCCCCAAGTGAAATTTAGTCTGTTGCCATCAGTGTTGTTTTTGGCGGGCATCTTAGTTTTAGTCTTCATCTCGACTACAAAAATGCATTTTGGTCTTAGTTTTAGTAGACTAAATCTCAAACCTTTTATTGTTTCTAATATTGATGATTTTATCTAGTCTCGGCTCGTCAACAAAAATTCCCATTGCTGTCATCACGTGTCAGTTACCAAAGAGCTATTTTCAGCTCGTCAGCATCTCATTTTCGTTATGAAAATAGAGGGACAACAATGAAATCAATTAGTCATTGTTTTCATTAACAAAAACAACACTGGTTGTCATGTTCCTCAGTTAGTTAGGAGGAACAAAGCATTCTGTAACCAGCTCCGTCATTCTCCTAATCTGGAAGTATTCCAGCCTAATTATCACTTAGGGGTGGGCTTTAAATTAAAACACATTAACTTCAGAACAAATGGTCGACAAACTGATCATCAAACACCAGTGTCTATAGAGAGAGAAAGGAAAAGTGTGAGGTCATACACAGCTGAAGTTACCTGGTGTGAGGTGCTGAGGTCTGTGATTGGTTGAAGGGAATGGGGAGAACATCTCTACTGTTACCACTCTGACTGAAGACAGACTTGGACTGACCAATTCTAGAGACAGACTGGCAGAGACAGGTACAGGTGAGAATAGATGAGTGTGGCTTCCTGATCAGTATAATTACTCCACTTCTTCCACCATTTTTTTATTTATTCTTTTATTTTCATCTTCTGTAACCCCTTTTTCCTGTAATGTCACCAGGAGCTAGTTTCTATCTCCAGCAGTTACTGAGCGAGAAGGGACTGGACACCTGGACAAGTTAATAGTCTATCACAGAGAGACAAAGGAGAAAAACAACTTGCCACACACTCACGCCTCTTGACAATTTAGAGTCACCAATCAACCTGACATTAACGTTTTTGCTGTTGTTGGAGGAAACCAGAGTACCAGGAGAAAACACACACGCATGGAGAGAACACACCAACTACACGCAGAGAGACTGCAGCTGTGTTGGGAGATGCAACCTTCTTGCTGCACAATCATGAAACAAAGTTATTGTTAACATGCAAAAAGTTCTGCGATTATACTTAAAATAGTCCCACTGGAGTTTCACATGAACCTTTTTCAGTTTAATTTACAAGATTAACTTTTACACAAACTGCTGCTGTGTTGCTTATGTGGACGACTGAGTTGTGGCTGATTCAGGGGCGTGTACCTTCTTGCTGGAAGCTGTGGTTTGTGTTTCCATCGTAGCTGAGAAGTTCTGTAGGTATGTGGGGTCTCCGGGGCTGGGTTCAAGGGGCACGATACCAAAGCTGTATAGAAATGACACGTTAACAAGAAGTTAGAACATGTTACCATAACATTATGTGCAAGAGTGAGTGCAATCACGTGCACACACACTCTCTCATATGCTGCAGCAGTAATGACACCATTCTAGGGGAAACATTAAAGATGCAGTCATCCATTTTCTGCAGCAGGCCTGCAGTGTGAGAGACATGTCCAATTGTATAACTGTCCACCCAAAGCGACAGAGGCTGCACACCTGTGATTGGTCAGCACACCACTTCCTTTGAATTCATCAACAGCACTGCCATAAAAAAAAAAAAAAAAACAATATAAAATAAAAAGAACACTGAAGATTTTTTGCAACAAACACGGCAAACAGATCGGAGAGCATCTGGTGGAAGAAGTCAGACGATATGAGTGTTTATACACCCATGACTGAAGGACAACAAAGCAAACTTTTAATCTGTGGAAGTAAATTAACGGAAAACCAGTTTGGAGGTGGTGACTGCATAAAGAGGTGGAGGAGAATGATAGACAAACGTGTGTTATAAAGTCTCAAAAAAGCAGTAAGTAAGAATATAGTGAGTATTTTACAGTGAGAAAATCCCCAAAGAGTAATGTTTTAGTCATTTTGGAGAGACGGTTATACTGAAACATATTTCATTTCCAGCTGGCTGCAGGGGTAGGGTTGTCACGGTGTGGAAATGTATTCTTGCGGTTACTGTGACAACATTTTTCATGTTTTCAGTATTATCGCAGAATTTTTTGTAAATGTGTTACATTTTTAGACAACTAAATAAACTCTCTGTATCAGGAAAATATTGTCCTTGGTTTGTGTTCTTTCAGTGAGCTTTGCACATTTGGGAAAATGTCATCAGGCAATAATCATTGTTCAATTCAGAATAATGCGCCGAGAGTCAGTCTGTTGCATTGGTGACTCTTACCTGCCTCTTGGGAGCTTTGTACTACATAGCATTGTTTCAGTGGCATGGTAGGTGACTTGTTGCATTCTCCCTCAACCAACAGTCCTCACATCATGCATTTTAGCTAAAAAGCTAACGTTAACTTGCCTTGTTACATTGACTGTAGAGTTATGAGTGATGGTCACGTAGATGTGTCATGACATTTGAAGTCTTGCTGCCGTTCAAAGACATGTTATCCCGTGTGTGCTGCAAACAGTTTAGCCGTCTTCCATCAACTGTCCCTCGGCATTCTTCAAATATTCGAAATATGCCCATATTTCCGACTTTGTCTTCTTTGAAGGCTGATGGATGTCCTGAGCGCTGCCATCTCCTCCTTCAACCATTATTTCAGCTTAATGAAAGTTTTGGTTGTAAACTACAAAGTGCACATGTGCAGCAACTTCTACAGATGAGACGATGGCTGGTAAGGGTCACTGTGCCTACGCGACGACCACGGTAATCTACCGAGATTATATATATATATAAAAATGAGAAAATTCTGTATGATTATTGTCAACATTTTACCGGGGTTTACCACTCCGGTAACCGTGACAATGCTATGTGTGGGTTGTCAGTTTTTCTCCTTTCAAAACAAAGGAAGGAGGGTCGTAACTACTGTTTACCATCAGTGAGTGTGGGGGTGCCGTGTCTCCTGTGAGCTAATACTGCAGCACAGACAATTTGATGCCTGGCAAAAAGCTCCAGTTGTTTAAAGTGGTTGCTGTAGCCAAATTTTACCACATGATGTCAGTTTTACTTTATTTCTATGTATTTACTTCATTCTACATATTTCTACATGCACCTTTAAATACACAAACACAATATACACTAGGGGTTGTACGAAATAGTCGACTAGTCGACTTCACGGCTCTGTAGTGACTTTTTATGCCCGTCATCCACTAGTCGCTGTCACGTGATAATGACTGACAAGATGCAGTCCTCGGAAAAGACAGCAGGTGACGAGCCCCTGCGTGTCTGGATCGAGGCGGAGGCGACGCGCTGTGCGGTAGACACCGGCGGTAAAACGGACATTTAACCAAACTGTGACCTTTTCCCTCTTGCAATTTTACCTTCCCCTCACCCCCATCCTAACCTTAACCAGTTTGTGCATGCAAAGCTCTGATCGTTGATGTGCGCTCCAGACATTGCGTCCTGAGCACGGCCAAATTAGGTGTCACCACCTCAAAAACAAATTAAACACACGATCGTTCATGTCGGCTCATTTCCTTTCATGTTTTCTGTGTTATTTGTGCCTGATGCATTTCGCTGCTGCGGAGCGAGGCGCATCACCTGTTGTCCTCCGGTGACACACCCCCAAGATTCCACTATCTCCACTCCGCTCTGCTCCGGCACGAACTCCGCAGCAAAAACGGTCCAGTTGTAGTCGGCCGGCGAGCAGCGGCACTCCGCTGTTTTAGCGGTCGGTAGATCTCCGGAGGCAGCAGACAGGTACCGGATAGCCAAGCGGGGTGCAGCAGTGGCAGTTGCCGAGGCAAAATCTCGGGCGTGGGAGGAGTTTGGTGAGGCCATGGAGAAAGACTATCGATCGGCTCCAAAGAGGTTCTGGCAAACTGTCCGGCGCCTCAGGAGAGGAAGGCAGCAACTCGCTCACACTGTTTACAGTGGGGATGGGAAGCTGCTGACGTCAACTGAGGCTATAGTCGGACGGTGGAAGGAATACTTTGAGGAGCTCCTCAATCCCACCAATGTGCATTCCGAGGAGGAACCAGAGCTGGGAGGCCTGGGGATGGACTGTCCGATCTCGGGGGCAGAAGTTGCTGAGGTAGTCAAACAACTACACAGCGGCGGAGCCCCGGGGGCGGATGAGGTTCGTCCTGGGTATCTCAAGGCTATGGATGTTGTAGGGCTGTCATGGTTGACACGTCTCTACAACATTGCGTGGTCATCGGGGGCAGTTCCTAGGGAGTGGCAGACCGGGGTGGTGGTCCCCATCTTTAAGAAGGGTGACCTGAGGGTGTGTTCCAACTATAGGGGGATCACACTCCTCAGCCTCCCTGGAAAGGTCTACGCCAAGGTACTGGAGAGGAGGGTCCGATCGATAGTTGAATCTCAGATAGAGGAGGAGCAATGTGGTTTTCGTCCTGGCCGTGGAACTGTGGACCAGCTCTATACCCTTGCAAGGGTGATGGAGGGGGCATGGGCGTTTGCCCAACCAATCCACATGTGCTTTGTGGATTTGGAGAAGGCTTATGACCGTGTCCCCAGGGGCACCCTGTGGGGGACGCTCCAGGAGTATGGGGTGGGTGGCTTTCTGTTAAGGGCCATTCAGTCCCTTTACCAGAGGAGCGTGAGTTTGGTCCGCATAGCCGGTAGTAAGTCGGACCTGTTCCCGGTGAGGGTTGGACTCCGCCAGGGCTGCCCTTTGTCACCGGTTCTGTTCATCACTTTTATGGACAGAATTTCTAGACGCAGCCGTGGTGTGGAGTGTGTCGAGTTTGGTGGCAGGAGAATCTCGTCTCTGCTTTTTGCGGATGATGTGGTCCTCCTAGCTTCATCCAGCTCTGACCTTCAGCTCTTGCTGGGTAGGTTCGCGGCCGAATGTGAAGCGGCTGGGATGAGGATCAGCACCTCCAAATCTGAGACCATGGTTCTCGACCGGAAAAGTGTGGCTTGCCACCTCCGGGTCGGGGGAGAGGTCCTACCTCAAGTGGAGGAGTTTAAGTATCTCGGGGTCTTGTTCACGAGTGAGGGTAGGAGGGATCGGGAGATCGACAGGCGGATTGGTTCGGCGTCTGCAGTAATGCGGACGCTGAGCCGATCTGTCGTGGGGAAGAGGGAGCTGAGCCAGAAAGCCAGGCTCTCGATTTACCGGTCGATCTACGTCCCAATCCTCACCTATGGTCATGAGCTTTGGGTAATGACCGAAAGAACGAGATCGCGGATACAAGCGGCCGAAATGAGTTTCCTCCGTAGGGTGGCCGGGCTCAGCCTTAGAGATAGGGTGAGGAGCTCGGACATTCGGGAGGGACTCGGAGTAGAACCGCTGCTCCTCCGGATCGAAAGGAGCCAGTTGAGGTGGTTTGGGCATCTGGTCAGGATGCCTCCTGGACGCCTCCCCGGGGAGGTGTTTCGGGCATGTCCTGCCGGCAGAAGGCCCCCGGGTTGACCCAGGACACGTTGGAGAGGTTACATCTCCAATCTGGTCCGGGAACGCCTTGGGGTCCTGCCGGAGGAGCTGGTGGAGAAGGCCGGGGAGAGGACGGCCTGGAGCTCCCTAATTGGGATGCTGCCCCCGCGACCCGGACCCAGATAAGCGGAGGAAGACGAAGACGAAGGTAGATCTTTTAGAACTGCAGTTCATAGGTAACTCATAAGGTGAATATATATGAACCCAGGTAGCAGTTTCTCTTTAGGATTGAGAGGAGATGCAGGAAGATAATAAACAGGCAGGACAGAAAAATAGTCAAATAAAAACAAGTTAGTTTTTGTACCTGGTGGTTGCAACAAACAGACACAATTGAAGGTAATCAGAAGTGAGGAACAGAAAATGAAATAATTATGTTAATGTTTAGAGCAGCAGGAACTCTGAGAGGCTGCAGGCGCATCAGTGAGTTTGCGGCTGCTGCGCAGGGGGAGAAACTACCGTTGTTAAAAGAAATGTGTTAACTTAGAAAATGTGGGCGCAATTTTAATTGTCAAAAACTCCAGCGAACCTACCGACCGATCCCCCCCCCCTCGCCGCTTCCGGCGTATGACGTCATCAACGACTAGTCGGAGTCGACTCGACTTTCATTACTTGACTGTCGACTTTAAAAAAAATAAAGTCGTGCAGGCCCTAATATACACACAAGTACAATGGTAGCAGAACACCCTAAAAAAGTGTTACGGCCTCTGTTATCCTGGCAGGCCACTGCATTGCTACATTCCCCAAGCAACGGAGGACTGAAAGGAAAACTTATCCGTCAGTGCGCATGTAAGACTCCCCACTCAAGCTGACGGACAAGTATAAACCAGGCTTGAGGACATTCAGGTTTAGGGGAACACACACAGGTACGTCAACACACTCACCTGGGTGTCAAGGGGCTGAGGGCTGCAGGTCCCCCCAGCAAATTCCGCCCACTCTTGGGTTTGTTTTGTTTAGCCAGGAGGGAGCCAGCCGACGCAATGGAAATTGTGTTACCCAAGAGTGAGCCAGTCTCCGGGGAGATGAGGGAGGAGTCAATGTATGAAACTGACAAATCAGACGTCAACTTTCCACTTGATTCAAGATTCAACCGATTCAATTCCTGTAAAACAAGAGCTTCTGTTTAACAGCAATCTATTTACCATCTGCAATCTGATTAGTACCAGTACTCAAATTACACAATTACTAACGAGTTGGTAAAAGGAGGGCAGTAATCAGATTACAAATTTACTCCAGCAATAAAAATCTAAGGGAAATCAAATCACACATTTACTTTACATTTAATTATTACTGCCAATTTAGTCAGGGCAACTATCATATTAAGGTGTTTGTTTAGTGTACCAGTGTGTCCTGTGGCGTCTCCATGAGGGCGGTGTCAAGACGATGAGATGGGTTCTGGGAGGGGGTTATATGCAGAGGGGGTGGGGCTAATGTGGAGTTCGGCAAAGCAGACAGCTTAAACATCTGATCTGGATCTGGTTTATCACCTAGAAACAAAGCAAAACGTCATTTTCCTCAAGTCATTTGCTCATGAGGTGTGTGTGTGTAGCCTCTTTTAGAAAACAATGCCGCCAATTTGTCGTAACGCCGTGACAGCATCAGGGAGCCTAAGGTAATTTATTAGTGGTCAGACCGTGGCAATAATGTGGCATAATCGTGTCCTTAAGGGACGGCGGCATAAAGAGGGTATGAGACTGGTCTCTACTAGGGCTGCACGATATTAGGAAAACCTGCGATATTCGATAACAGTGCTTAATATTGCGATATTAATATTACTCACGATAAATGAACAAATACTAAAGTATGCAGTGTTGATGTCGTCTGGCGTGTGACGTCTGCTCTGGGTTCAAAGCAAACAAAAACTAATGCATGAATTCCATTACAACATAACATTTTTATTGCAAAAATATGCAGCTGCACCTGCTACTGTATTAGCAGCAAAACAAACTGCATGCATGCAGTTTCTCAGTGACTTTAAAACATCACCTCCACCATAAAACTTTTTCTGATGCTCCAAATACAGAAAAACATCCCTTACCAGGGTTTTCTGGATAAATAAAAAAAATCTGAAAATAAGTTTAAATGTTAAATAATAGTTAACATAACTTACATGCAACAGCAAATTCTCTCATTGCTACTGAACATTTTCTCCACTTATGTGGTTATGATATAAGGCTGTTGCTGCTTTTGGGAAGTGAACTGTGCTGAGCCAAACTAGGAGAATATTAAGATTTTCTGAGGGAAAGAGAAAAACAATTGTCTACCTTTCAGAAGAGGAACTGGCAAAAAACTACATGGAAAATATGTGAAAACGTTTGTTTTTAACCCCAAATTGTACAAGTTTACCTAGATCTTAAAAAGCAGCTCAGATGATGAAACTGCAACTATGATTCTGATAACAAGCTAACAAATTGAACTAGCTCCTCTTACGATAACCGGCTAGCAGAGCTTCTGACTGACAGTGTATGTGCAGCAGCAAATCAACTATCCTGATTAACAAGGTTATAAAAGCTCATAAATGAAAAATCACTTTGATGTGTGGGGGAACTTTTCCAGGCCCTCTTTAGCAGGGTGGGACTGGGAGGAGAGTGCTGTAGCCTTTAAGCTGGAAGCTAACCGGAGCCTGGGGCTAACATCACCACCCGGTGGAACACTAGCGACATGGAGGTAGGTGGGTTGGTTCACCGGCACGTGTCGGAGTCAGCCCGGTTACTATCAGCTGCTTAATGACATCGAGCAGACTCACGTTCACGTTTGAAAGCAGCACTGATTCCAGAAACCTCAGCACAAAGTGCGTTCGTTAATCTGAGCCAGCATGACGAACAAGGGAAGCGAGCGGCAGCGGAAAGCGGGGGCGGAGCGGAGATAGTGGAATTTTGGGGTAAGGGTCTACGTAGGGGGCGGGCGTATTACGGACCCATCTGATTGGCCGCATATCAGAAGGGCTACATTTGATTGGTCAAATAATACTTCCGCGTAAAAAACAGAGCTGGTTTACAAAAAGTTGATGTATGACACGGATGGAAATGTTTGAATCAAACATTTATCGCCATTTTTGACGTGCTTTGCGATGGGCCTATCGCACGTCCTGTTATCGCGATGACGATCATTTTCGATATATTGTGCAGCCCTAGTCTCTACACTGCTGCAGACTTCTGTTTACCTTGGACATAAGTTGCTTTTATTGCGATCAAAGTTTTTTCACAAGCCGCTCCTAAAGGTGTCTGTTCTCCACAGTGCCTGTGCACTCTCTGGTGATCAGCCCTACAGCTTTAACGGAGAAAAGCTCCTGGAGCTCTGCATCGCTCTAGCTTGTCATCTCAGCCTGTTCTGTTCACAAAAGCAAAACTCACTGCCCGTGATTACTTCCATCCATTTTCGGCCTCTTATCTGGGGTCGGGTTGCGGAGGCAGTAGCCTAAGCAGAGAGGCCAAGACTTTCCTGTCCCCAGCCACTTGGGCCAGCTCTTTGGGGGCATCCTAAGGCGTTCCGTGGCCAGCCAAGAGACATAGTTCCTCCAGCATGCCCCGGGACTTCCTTCAGGTCTTCTTCCGGTTGGAAGTGCCCGGAAAACCTCACCAGGGAGGCGTCCAGGAGGCATCTCAACTAGATGCCCAAGGCACCTCAACCAGCTCTCCTCTCGACGTGGAGGAGCAGCGGGTCTACTCCGAGCCCCTCCCAGATGACCAAGCTTTTCACCCTATCTCTAAGGGAGAGCCCAGCCACCCCGTGGAGAAAACTTATTTCGGCTGCTTGTATCTGCAATCTCATTCTTTCGGTCACTACCGTGACTGTAGGTGAGGGTAGTAACGTAGATCGACGGGTAAATCAAGAGCTTTGCCTTCCGGCTCAGCTCTCTTCACCACAACAGATCGGTACAACATCCGCATCGCTGCAGACACATCACCAATCCCCCTATCGATATCACGTTCCAACTATGGGCTGCATGGTGGCGCAGTTGTTAGTACTGTTGCCTCGCAGCACGAAGGTTGCAGGTTTGAAACTCGGCTGCGGCCTTTCTGCGTGGAGTTGCGTGTTCTCCCCATGCATGCGTGGGTTTCCTCCGGGTACTCCGGTTTCCCCCACAGATCACAACATGCCCTACAGGTTATAAATTGTAAGTTGCTTTGGCTAAAAGCGTCTGCTAATTAAATAAACATAAACATAAATTTTCCTTCACTTGTGAACAAGACCCCAAAATACTTAAACTCCTCCACTTGGGGCAGGACCTCATCCCTGACTCGGAGAAGGCATTCTACCCTTTTCCGACTCAAGACCATGGTCTCAGATTTCGAGGAGCTAATTCTCATCCCTGCGGCTTCACACGTGGTTTTGAACCACTCCAGTGAGAGCCGGAGATCACGTTCTGATGAAGCCAACAGGACCACATCATCTGCAAAAGGCAGACTCAATCCTCAGGCCACCAAAAATGATACCCGCAAACCCTTGATTGCACCAAGAAATCATGTCCATAAAAGTTATGAACAGAATCGGTGACAATGGGCAGCCTTGGTGGAGTCCAACTCTCACAGGAAACAAGCCTGACTTACTGCCAGCAATGTGGACCAAGATCTGACACCAGTCATACGGGGACCTAACAGCTCATATCCGAGGGCCTGGTACCCCAAACTCTCGAAGTACCCCCCAAAGGAAGACATGAAAACGGGTCACGGGTGAAAAAGGTGACCTCAGCACCAGAGATTGGAGAGCCAATCCACGGACTCTGGTTCCTCACTGGAAGAACTGCCGGGTGGATTGAGGAGGCCTTTGAAGTATTCTGCCCACCAATCCACAACGTCCTGAGTAGAGGTCAGCAGCACACTGTCCTCACTATAAACAGTATAAACCATTTTTACTTCAATTTTTAATATAGTTTCCTGCTGAAGCTCGGAAGTAACTCCCCACGTGATTAATGACACCTCCCCCGTTGCACCATGGTGAAATATGCATTCACAAGTCTGGCGCTGCAGCAATATTACTACAGTACATGGTGGTATGAATGACGCAAAATTCTCAGTGTCACGCTGCCATGGCACAGTCATAAGACACACTGTGGCAGCAACATTACACTGATTTGCCGGCATGGCGTGTCTTCTAAAAATGGCTTGTGTGAGTGTGTGTGTGTGTGTGTACATTACCTAGGTGACATAGGTTCTGAAATGGAGACCAAAGAAACGGATTGAGGGTTAAACTCCTCTGAAAACACTCAGCACCTTTAGCAGCACGGTCGGTCTTGCTGTTCAGACAAAGATGAGGAGTCAAGAGGTGAGACTACAGAGACCAGAACCCCACGGGGTAAACCAGTTACTCACCAGTAAATGTGGCCCAGTAAGGACAGCGTGAAGGAGGCAGAGTCTCCAAACTCTGTGATGATATCATCCTGACTCTTCTGTTTATTCAGAACTCCACCAATCAGGACCTGCTCCCCCTCAGCTAGTCTATGAGGCAGACAGGTAAGACATAATAACAGACTCTGTGATCAGCAGTCCAAGTCTAACAAAGAGGATTAATAATGTATCAAAAAATAAATACATAAAACATTTAGCCCAGACACCTAGACAGGCAGTAGCCAAAACAAAATGATTTTGCTTTGCAGGCTGGCCTAGCCACGCTCCATTAGTCTCAGCAGGCTCGAACAATCTTGTGTCTTGCCAATCAAAGCTCTCTATCACACTGGTGGGCGGGATGATGCGATGGAGCGAAATAACAAAGATGGTGATGGATTGTTTGAAATAAGAATCCGCAACATGACTGAGCTCCATCTATAGGTCATGGCCAGATTAAACATTAATTTATATAGGATTGCTTGCCAAGCTAGGTAACATTATGACATCCAGGATAACGAAGCTGGCTCACTTCAGCCTGAATCTGTTTCCATGGTAACTAGAGATTGACCAATATGGGTTTACCATCACTGATGTTAGAATGTAGAGGTCTTGATCAATTGACACAGTGTCTTCTGATAAATGGCCAAAACAATAACTGACCCAGCAGGGCACCCATGATCATTAGTTCAGAACTTTTATTTCGGCCTGGAAATGCATTAGTGTCATGACACCTTCATTGATTATATTAATATTAATTTTTATTTTTTATTATTTCCAACAAGTACAAGTATATATTAAATCTACAGTGCTATGTAAAATATTGCCATCTGTTATTTATGCACACTAGCCTCCAATACAATGCTTGGAATTATCCCTAATGTGATCCTTTATTACAGTGCAATATGTTGCTCATCTATACAATACTGTTATCAGACAATTTATTACAGAAAATGCATTATATTATATAGAATTTCTTGTATACATTATCTCAGTATGCTGATTAAAAAGGTTTTAAAACGTTTAAATAGTAAATGGCGGGTTTTTGAAAAAGCATCTTCTAGGGTTCTACAGCCATAAAGGGTTTATTTTATTGTCTTTCTCAGCAGGCCTTTCAGTTATAAGCCTGTACATTTAGAATGTCTTATCTAATGTACACGTTTTAATTTATATTGTGCATAAATGCTATGATTCTAATTATTGACGTAATAATTTATTTCTGTGTTTCAGTTTTTGGCCTTGGTTTCCTCCTCCTTGGTTTTCAGTTTCGGCCAAGAATTTTCTAATCAAATCAAATCAGGTTTATTGTAATTCTGTTCATATCAGACAACAAACAACGAAAATGTGTTCCTCTATTGAGATCCATTTGAACCACGTGCACAATACATACTCAACTCTGCTAAATGTAAAAACAATGACTAAATTTGCGTTTGAAAACTATAATAAGTTAAAAGCTCCCAGTAAAAAAAAACCCACAAGCAATTAACACTGATCTTTGCGGGATTTTTAAAGTGCTAGTATTTCCTGTCCACAGTCCAATTACAGTCCAGTTGTATTTAGCAGCCGAACAGCCTGAGGCAGAAAGCTGTTCAGCAGCCTCGCGGTGGAGCATCTTATGTTGCGATAACGCTTCTGGGTTGGTAGAAGCTGAAAGAAGCAGTTCAGGGGATGTGTGAGGTCCTTCACAATGTTCAGGGCCCTTTTCATTTCAGTGCATTGCTATTTACAACACAACCAGTTACGCCCACCTCCCCCTCACACACATGCTGGTGGTGATTAGCTACAATGTTGCTACAGCTGCCCTGGGGCTCACTGACAGAGGCAAGGTTGCTGAGCACTGATCCCACTGGTTCCTCCTACCAACACCACCAACAACAGGCAAGGTGAGTTAAGGCTCCAATAACACGTTTTTGAGGGGAAATGGGAGGTGGCCACCACCGCCATTTTGACCGTGTCACAGGTTCCGTCAAGCCCAGACAATTCCACAAAAGGGAAGAGAGGTGGAGCTGAGGGTGGGGCTGTAAGGCTGGGATCAACTGACGATACCCGGTCAAACTAGCTACAAGCTAACCTGAAGCTAACCCAAAGCTAACGCGGAGGTGGGAGCTAAGCTAACGGAGGTAGCAACCTAGCTACACCCGGAGTTAACTGTGCACAACACCAGAGCTTCTGAGTCAGAGATACGCCGGGCTGACCGCTGGGTAAAACCGGGTGGAACACAGAGGTCTCCCGAAAGCTTTACAAGCCGGCAGCCGCACAGCAGACAAGCGCCGCTGCGATCTGAGACCCGCAGAGCTGCCGCTGGGGAGAACCGGGTGGGAAACATCAGTTTCCATCCGAGAGCTCCACAAGTCGGCAGCCCGCGCAGCAGACAGGAGCCGCGGCGATCAGAGATGCACCGAGCTGTGGGGAGGGGAGAACCGGGTGGAAAACAGAGGTCTCCCGAGAGCTCCACAAGCCGATAGTCGGAACCCAGCTCCACCAACATGTTATATTTCAACCCATTTTCAAAAGTGCAGCATTATGTTAAATGCACTGGGTTTTACCCTATTACATTTAAATTTCATGGTTAACAGTACATGTTAAAATCTAAGCTCAGCTCGGCAGTGACCTAAAATACATAAATATAATTTTACTTACCGAAAAAAAAAAAATGAAGTGGACACTAGGGTTGTCACGGTGTTAAAATTTAACCTCACGGTTATTGTGACCAAAATTATTACGGTTTTTGGTATTATCGTGGTATTTTTTTAAACGGGTTACATTTTCAGACAACTAAATAAACCCTGTATAACAGGAAAATATTGTCCTCAGTTTGTGTCTAAATTTTGCATAAAATGTGTTATTTTGTAATCATGTTGTTTATTTCTTTACATTTTTTTCGTTGCATTCTCCCTCAACCCAAATCCTCAGATCACGCATTTTAGCTAAAACGCTAATGTTAGCTTGCCTTGCGTTGACTGTAGAGTTGTGGGTGATGGTCACGCAGATGTGTCATGAGATTTGAAGCGTTGCTGTCTTTCACAGACAATTTTTCCTACACATGCTGCAAACAGGATAGCCGTCTTCTATCAACTGTCCCTCGGCATTCTTCAAATATCCAAAAAAATGCCCATACTTCCCACTTTGTCTTCTCTGAGGGATAATAAATGTCCTTAGTTCTGCCGTCTCCTCCTTTGACCATTATTTCAGCTTTAGCTTCAAGAAAGTTTTGGTTGTAAACAACAAAGCGCGCATGTGCCGCCGGCAACTTCTGCAGATGGTACGGTGGCTGGTAAGGGTCACCGCGCCTACACCGCAGCCACGGTAATCCATAATGCTTCCATTGTGTTTTATTTGAGGTGCATCCTCGTCCCCCCCCCCCCCCTCTCTCTCTCTCTCTCTGCTGTCCTAGCGCGACTATTCACACTCAAATTAAATTAATCGACCCAAGTCCGATCCGACCTGTCAGAACTCCGTTCAGGCTCGGGTCGTAAAAGCAGGGAAAAGCCATCATCTGGAGGTCTACACAGGAGACTTCCGGATGAACTGCATTCATGCGGGTCGCGCATCACCGGTTCTGACAGAATAAATGTTTTTTTTATTTTAAATAATTACCCATCACTTCCCGACACCCTCAACCCTGAGGTTTTAGTTACCCTACAGACAAAACTTTTACAGTTTCCCCTTTCACATTTCTCACAGTAAGGCATTTTCTATTTCTGCCAATCACTGTAAATGTGTCTTCTGTTTGAACCCTTGGGTTTGTGCGAATCTGTGTGTATTGGTGCACTTACTTGCTGAGTTCGACGCAGCACTTTGCCAGCAGGAATCGGACCTGTGGTGTGGAGCAACTGTGAGCCTTCAGTAGTCGGTACGCTTTATAAGGCTTCCCAGAACGATAGTAGCATGTAGCCAGCAGGTAGAGAGCCTCCTCTGACCTCACTGACGGGTAGACACACAGGAAGACAGGTTAACATACAGACAGACGGGTAGAAATCCTTCTGTGACGGCATGAGGTGAGACATGCGTACCTTCAGCATAGAGTCTCTCAGCAAGGAAAACAGCATCCAGGTAAGCATAGTGGTTCAGTGCCTGCCACACTGCAGCCTAAACACAAAAACAAGACTTATCAGCTGGTTCTGACACTCTGAGCAGGTCCAAATCTGGTTCCTGAGATTAGATGGAGGTCAGCCAAGAAATGAACATGATACAAGAAGAAAAAGTCTGGGCTAAAATGTAGCAGAAACCAGTTCAAAGAAACTAAAAGAGGTGTAAGTCTGGAAGAAGCATTCTGTACTGATTGTACTGAATTCCTCTTAATTGAAACAGATAAATGGTTGTTGAAATAGTCTAAAAGATTAGATGAAAGAGTGAAATATAATCTCAAATTCAGATTTAGACAAAAAGGGTCAAAGTTTGGAGATTTTTCTTAACTGAATAAAAAAAAGCCTGTTTCTTGTTAGTTGACCAAAATGACGTTGTATGGACAAGGATAGGGTTAGGCGATAGCACGAATTATTCGACCATCGACAATGGGCTGAGCCATTACGATTGTTTTTACAAGAGGTAATCTGTTAAATTATTTATTTGTTATTTTTGCCCATGAGTTAGTATGTTAATGATAAGGACAGGGAACATAACAATCAAGAAAAGATCTCCATCGGTGAGGAGGAGCTGCGAGAGCGTCGTTGACGCACTCAACATTGTGCACAAGAGAGAGCGAGAGAGAAAATGAAACAGTGAAAGAAAGAATGAAAGAAATGTATTTTTTATAGCGCCTCTCCGAATAAAAATCACGAGGCACTTCACAAGAACAAAACGAAAAATAAATAAATAAATAAAACTTAAAAAAATTATAAAAAAAATATGGTTACATTTAGAAGAAAAACAAGCGAATAATATAAAGAAATATATAGAATTGGGATTACAAAATGCAAGGAGAGGGAAAGTGAAAACGAATAGGAAAAGAGTAGAGGTGTGAATCTTCACTTGTCTCCCGATTCGATTCGATTACGATTATTGGGTCAACGATTCAATTCGATTCGATATCTCGATGCATCATGATGCATCACGATTATTTCATATTGATTTGTTTTCATCGATAAATAGAAGATGTCAGATAATTGCTTTTTTTTTTAATCAAAAACGTAATTGACACAACCTGCCATCCCTCAAAAGCTCTCCATTCACAACAGGTTAGGACAAAACATTTAAACATTTAAGAAGATTTAACAAAGTAAAACATCTGTTTCCTCGTTCAACACCACGCCTCAGGCTGAGAAAAACACGCTTTGCAAAAACTCACAAAATCTAAAAAAAATACTGAAAACCTACAGGACACATAATGTAATAATAAAATACATAATGGGTTCATATATGAGTGTTTAGTGTCTCTGAGCAGCTCTAGAGTCAGATATTTATGCCACAGTTGAAGGGTGTCAGAAATAACACCAAATGAAATGTTTGACTTAGTTTATTTTATTTGAACCCAGTGGTTCGTTTCTGAAATGTTGGAGAAGGAATCAAGTTCTGTTTGATGCAGAAAATAAAAACAGAAAACAAATTCTACACTCCAATAATATTTAAGATGTGTGTTTTATTCTTCCTGATAATAACACCAGCAGAAGGCTGTGGGCTGGATTAGGATTAAATTACCCAGCTGATGGATCTCTTTCACTAACCAGCTAACTACAAACCTTTCCACCAATCTGTCCTGTGGGACCCTCACCATGTGACCCTCATGTCCATGCTGTCTCTGGAGGAACAGATAGGAGACAGATCTCCTGTAACTTAAAATGAACCAAAGCTTCCTCCCAGCTTCTCTTTAAGCTGAATTTAACATCAGTTTATCATCATGGAACAAAAGAATAAAGTGGAACAAGAACTTCTATCTTCTATTTCTCTCTCCTTATTTCAGAAGATCACGCTGCAGCCGCCGTCATTGACCCCGCCCCCTCCCCACGACCGGATCTCCCTAAATTACAACAAGCAGTCTGACTGAGCGCTTCCAGGAGAAATAATAATTAAATTATGAAAATAACGCGTGTTTGGAGCATCGGTTTGGAGGAGCGTCCTCCGATCGTCTCTCTTGTGTGAGCAGGCAGTCTCCCTCTCTTGCTGATCGAGCGAGTGGAGCGCGCCGCACGACAACCCCCTCAATTAACTTAATTCACGGCCCAAATCCAACAGAACCGGTCGGGCTGATTCGGTTCCGGTTTGGTCTCAGGTGACAACTCCAGCACTCAGCCCTGCAGTACCACATTAAGGCGGAGGTAAATGTGGAGGACGCTCACTCTGACAGATTTGGATGCAGCGCTGGTGCCGCCGTTAAAAAAACAAAACTAGGTTCCACTATAATCGATTATGGCGTACTCCTCTACGATGCAGAATCGTTTATGTCCGCATCCCGATGCATCGATTATTTGATTATTTTCCTCAGCTCTAGGAAAGAAAAATCACTGGATCGCGGGAAAGGCAGAGTTGGAAGAGCAGAATAAGAGGAGGGTGGTGATGAAGTTCACGTAAAAGCCAGCCTGAACAAGTGAGTTTTTAACTGCTTTTTAAAGGAGACCACAGAGTCCACTGATCTCAGGCTCTTGATCAGTCCCTGCACAACCAGTAGGCTTTGGTCACTGGACCTCGGGGACCTGCTGGGGTGTAGGGACTAGGCTTGGGTGGCATTACCGTATACAGCAGAATAAAAAAAAATAGCAATGGTGTCGGTTCCAATACGGTCATGGAAAAAAAAGAGAAAAAGACAGAAAACAGTGCACGTAAGAGACAAGAATAAAAAAATTTAATACAAGCAAAGCAAAAATTTATAAAAAAGATAAAGAAAAGTCATTAAAGATCAATACCAGATTTACATAGTATGTGAGTCTATTGCAGTATGCTGCACAGCGCTGGAACCTACGTTTTTACTTTTTTCATTTGTGGTTTTTATCTATTGAATGTTACAACACTAGACTACTGCCTATGTGTATATACGTGTACCTCGTTATTATTTTTCTTCAAATAATTTTTTTAAGTGTTGGTGCTGCTGCAACAAGCGAATTTGCCTACTGTGGGATCAATAAGGTCTATTCTACTTTGATCTTGTTGCGCTGACCACAGAGGTGTGGCTGCACCCCTGTCCATTTCTGGTGTGGTGTCGTTGTCGGTACAGGATCTGCTCGGGTGCAAGATCGGCTCGGGGTCCTTCGACTGCCGATGATGTCAAAGTACGGCAAACCCACTCGGACAAAATATACACATCTATACTGTTGGAAAGAATTTAGCAGTTTCGTTGTTAAAATAGTGTTTCTTAAGACTTAAGTTTGTGTTTATAATGGTATTTGTAAACTAAAACACTATATTGTATTCATAATGTTGAACTTCTCTTTGAGCACATCCCTTGAAGGATCATAGGTATTAGCAACACCTATGAAATTGTATTTGCAGGAAAGAAGTGTGTCCCGTTTATTGAAGTATTTTGTATTTAGTTTTTGACGGCTTGTCCATGCGTAGTTCAGTTATGCTCATACTAGCTGCTATAGCCAAAACTCTGGAGTTTTCTGGCTTTACTAAAATACCTGTCTGTACTTATTTGACTGATGATAGTTTTACTTTCTATTAGACTCCAAATGTAATCATTTAGCACGTTTCTAATTCATAATTTGTAAGAATGTAATCGGTGATATTAGCATTAGCATTCCTATGGGTTTTTCCACGTATATTAGCATTGCGCTAACCACTCACTGCCAAATTGCAGCCTTTGTGATTAGAAAATCTCCTTCTGTCACATTGCAATTTAATTGCACATGCAGTTAATCGTTCAGGCCTAATACACTTTTAGTATAGAGCTGCATGTATGTTTTCAAAGAGCTAATGATGGATTTCTTTGTAAAAGTTGTCCATCTTTCCAACAGAAAATTTTCATGTTCAATTCAAGTTTATTTATATAGCGCCAAATCACGACAAGAGTCGTCTCAAGGCACTTAACATAATAAACATTCCAATTCACAGTTCATTGCCTAGACCAACGTAACGTGATAACAATGTAACGTGATTACGTAATTCCGTAAGGTTCATGTTCAGCCAATCAACTACTTTGACGTCATCGGCAGTCGACGGACCCCAAGCCGATCTTGCACCCGAGCAGATCTTGTACAGACACCGTCTTCACAGCCTGGCTGAAGGCTTACTTCTAGAAACACTGCCCAATCCAGGTCAAAACAAGGTACCATCTCGTTGACAGCCAGACCGTTCTGGACGCAATACAGCTCGAGGTTTATGGCTTCCAGACCTTCTTCGCAAACCGTTGTAACATGATGAAGGGGCTATTCCACCGAAGGTTATTTACCCTCTCTCCTCAGATGCCTCTGACACAGAACTAATCTGCATGAGATATTGCTCAAGGTCATGCATTTGCTTCAAAAATGTTTTCCTTTCCAGCCCAAGAGAAGAATGAAGACAAAGGACTCTTTCTTTTTAATAAATCAAAGAATTCTATTTTTAATAAGCTAATCAAACAAAGTGTTAGTCAATAATAAAATGTGAACCAATTTGTGAAATGAAAATATTAATTACTTGATATTATAATCCTACAGAATATAATAAGTAATATAACTTTAGATGTTTCCACTAGAGACTGATCACACGTAGTGTTAACACATGACACATTTCCTTTTCTGATCCAATCAGAATCTGCCAGATCTGACGGAGGCATGGTTTTGGTGGTGCTTGGTAAATCTGTCATCTTTTCATTCGACCATAAACCAAAACATCCGAAGTATAAACTACGCCCACGTCATCTTTAACGCCAGTTCAAAGTGTTCTAGAGAAGTTGTCGGAGTGGCCAATCCGTAACTTTACTCTTCAGCAGAAAGATCCAACGACAAGCTGGATAAAATCTGTTGCTGCTCCAACTGCTGCAACGGTTCCTTTCAGAATAAAAGCTGAACCATCAAGACCCCGTTTTGGGTCTTGCTAGATGCCAATAAACTGTCGTGGCCCAGAAGTATCTCAAAAACTGGACTGGTCGGCGGCCGCAGCTGTTCTACAGGCTACGGCTCCAGAAAGGTCCAAGCCGGACCTCTACACCTCCTTATCTAGATGGGGACTTCCGC